AAGACTTGACTTCCCCAGGAGAATTCAACACAGGGAGAGCGGGGACTGAAAACCCCACGCAGCCCCGAGACCCCCACTCCCCTGGACTCTGCTTTGCTTTGTCTTTTTAAGCAGGAAGTGGAGGAATAAGTCCGGGCCGCATCACACACGTTGAAAATTCTGCCACCCGATCCCGATGTTGGTTTCTCACCTTCCCTTTCTTTAGCTTGATCTTCAAGCACATGGTCATCGTGAAGGCCAAGCTCGGGCAGAATTTCTCGATGGAAATACAGAAATTCAAGGCCGAGAGTGAGGACTACTTGGCGCGCATGTGGCACCGCCTGGCCCTGAACTCGCCGAGCGTGTCTGGAGAGCTGGCCTGCTACAACAGCGCCATCCAGGCCTTGCAGGTGCGAAGCCCTGAGCGTGGGTGCACGTGGTAAAATGTGTCGTTTAGCAAAAGGGAGAACCGTGTGGACAGAAGCTCAGCCGGGACCTGGCGTGGGCGGCACGTAGAGCAGCCACGGCTGATGGTGCAGAGAATGCGCCGTGCGGCCCCGGGCACTCCTCTGGCCGACCAGTCAGGGATGATGGCTGGAGCTGGTTTCAGTGGTCCCTTTCCAGCATGGAGGGGTCGTGGTCAGGTCCTTGTCCCTGAGCAGGGTGAGGGGGCCAGAGGGTGATGCCCCAAGTAGAAGCGCCCTGGAGGCCCAGGGGCCCAGATGGGCGGGTGGCTGCAGGGGGGTGCAGGGCTCTGCAGGGCCCTGGGATGTGGGCGTTCTGGGGACGTTGGCGTCTCTTCCCCACCCCCAGGAAGGCGAGACGGGTGTTCCCCTCGATGCACTTGGGGTGGGCTCGGGAGGAGGTGGGCGCTTTGGCGTTGATTTGATGCCTCTGCTTGTCAGAAGCAAGGGCCATGTGGTGCGTACCCGAGAACTTCATCTCGGGGATGAAAAGGCATCCCAGGCCCCTGGTGTGAAAGGCATGAACCTTTCAACATTAGTGAAGATCTTAAAAGGCTTTTCTGTTACACAGGCTGTTTCTCCGGCTCAGAGCAATCCTCCCCTGAGGTCTTTGGATTGCTCTGGTGTCCAGGCAGCCCTTAGTGTTGGGAACTGAGGATGGCTGGGGGGTCTCTGATGGTGCTGTGTGAGTGCCAGCTCAGGGCTCTGGGCAGTCAAGGCAGATGCCCGGGTACCACCATGGGGGAGCCACAGGGAGCCACTGCGCCTCTCTCCGGGGAGCCAGAGGCCGTGTCGTTCCTCGGCAGTTGCCCTGCTGGGGTTGGTGGGGATCAGGCGAGGACCTGGCCTCCTCCAGGGAAAGCAGGTAGGGCCTGAGGAGGGGAGGCTGCGGGGCGACTGGGGAAGGTAGGACCCAGCTGAGTCGGGCTGGGCGTCGGGGCAGAAGCCCTTGAAAGTGTTTTCTGTCTTCACTTACCCGAGTCCTTCCTCCACTTGTCTGTTTTTGTTAAAGGTACAATGTGATGTTTTTAGTGAATTCTCAGAGTTATATAATCAGCACCCACACACAATTTTAGAAGGTTTCATCACCTCCCAGAAACCCTGCATCCATCAGCACTCACTCCCCCTCCTTCCCTACCCTGCATCCATCAGCACTCACTCCCCCTCCTTCCCTACCTCCATCGGCCCCAGCAAGCTGCGGACCTGGACATTTTCTGTAAACAGAGCCAAGCATTACGTGGTCCTTCATTCAGCATGACATCGCCCAGGGCCATCCCCATCATTCCCATTTAGGGCTGAGTCATATTCCGTTCCGTGTCTCACAGTCCACGCCCGGCTGTTTGTTGTTTCCCATTATCTGCCTGCTGTGACGAAAGGTGCGGTCAGCATTTGCTCCCGAGTTCTGGCGTGGCCCCTCCTCGTCCCCTGGGGGCACAGCCCAGCCCTGGAGTTGCTGGGCACACGGTGGCCCTGTGTGGGGCCATGAGATGAAGTGCCAGATCGTCTCCCACAGCGGCCTCACAGGGTTGCTTTCCCACCTGCCGGCTGTGAGCTGCGGTTTCTCCACACGCTCACCAGCTCTCGATGTCGTCCGACGGTTCTGGCTGTGCCGGTGGGTGTGAAGGGGGTGTCTCCTCGTGTTTGGTTTGCCTGCATTTTCCCAGCCACTCATGATGGGGTGCATATTCCCACGTGCTCATGGGCCATTTGTAGGTGGTTGGAGAAGTGTTCATTGCAGTCCTTTGCCTGTTTTTAATCTGGTAGTTTGGTTTTCGTTGCCTTATAGGAGCTCATGGTGTATTGTGGATGCAGGTTCTTTAGCAGGAGCATCATCTGCAAACCCTTTCTCATTCTGTGAGCTGCTTTTTCAACCACTTCTTCACTTCCTGGATGGCATGATTTGTGGCACAAACATGTTTTAAATTGTGATGAAATTCTAGTTGTCTGTTTCTTGTTTTGTTGCTTGTGTTTCTGGCGTTGTATCTGCAAAACTGTTGCATAACCCAAGGTCTTGAAGATTTGTTCCCGTTTTCCTCTGAGTTTTATAGTTGTAGCTGTTACATTTATGAGTTATACGGTGTGAGGCAGGGTCCCCGGCACTCCTCAGCCTGTGGACGCCGGTGGCCCCACACTTCTGTTGAGAAGATGACCTGCTCTCCCTTGAACCTCCCCATCAGGGCCAAGGCCCTCCCCAATGTCCGTAGCTTTTGTGGGAGCCACCGCCAGCCTCCACAGCTGCTCCCTTCCTTCCCCATCCATGGCATCCTTCACGTGGCTCCCAGGCCCCACCACCTCACCAGTTCCCCATCCTTCTCCCCTTCCCACCTCTTCATGACAGAGGAGGCCCTGGGCTAAGGGCAGGACCTTGGCCATCTGATCTCACCCCACGTCCTGAACTAAACATGGCTGCCGCCCATTTTCCCCACAAGCAATTCTCTAGCCCAGACCCTGCCCCTAGACCTGTGAATCCTGCTGCCTGCCTGGCCCCGCCCTGGGGCCAGCGTCTCACCCAAAACCAAACGCCTGCTTTTCCCACCGTTCTTCCTCTTGCCTTTCCCCTTGGGATGTTGCAGCTCCATCCTCCAGTGGCTGGACTCACACCCAACACCCACAACAAACCCACGCCTTGCACCTAGACCCACAGACACACGCGACATAACAGCCCACAGCTGCAACCCAGAGACACCCCACAGGCCGCAACTTCACACCTGTAACTTCACACACTTCTCATGTACACCATTCACTCCCAATACCCCCAAACACAACTCACACCCCACATCCCACACACACCCCACATCCCACATTCAACACACACCCCACATCCCACACACACACACACCCCAACACACCCCACATCCCACACACACCCCACATCCCCCACACACACACACCCCAACACACCCCACATCCCACTCACACCCCAAATCCCACACACACCCCACATCCCACACACACTCCACATCCCACATTCCACACATACCCCACATCCCACACACACACCACTCACACCCCACATCCCACACACACACCACTCACACCCATATCCCACACACACCAGTCACACCCACATCCCACACACACCAGTCACACCCCACATCCCACACACACCACTCACACTCCACATCCCACACACACCAGTCACACCCACATCCCACGCACACCACTCACACCCCACATCCTACACACACCCCACTCACACCCCACATCCCACACACACCACTCACACCCATATCCCACACATACCACTCACACCCCACATCCCACACACACCAGTCACACCCCACATCCCACACA